TTTTTTTTTTTTAGTTTTTTGTTTGGTTTTATTTTTCTGGTGAAATAATGGAAATAGGTGTAACTTTTGAGGTTGTACTTCAATATTTCTTACTGGGTTCAGTTCAATTTTATATGAGCAGTATGAACATAGAGAATTCATCGGATCTGTTGTTGTTGATGATGCCATTGTTAAGAATGCAAAGACAAGGGTTTGTTTCTTTTTATGTTTTTCGAATCTAATTCATAAAGCAAAGCTCGAGGAACTGTTGATTGAAATTTGCGGTATTTGAGCTCGGATTGTTAGCGAGTATAAATGTACTCCATTCAAATAAAGTAGACTTAGGGGGTCTTCGTAAAAATGCGATCTTTAGCCTCTGTTTGCAAAAATACCTCCCATGTCTTTTACGGCCAGAATAACCATTCATAGTACTGGCACTGTTTGGAAAAATACCTCCTATCCCATGTCTTTAACAGCCCGAATAACTATTCACAGTACTGGCAAAAACGAGGTATTTTGTCTCGAGAGCAAGTAGAAATGTAGTCTTTTTTTTTTCTTTTGTGCGATATAGAAGGTAAAAATGGTGGTACTTTGCCACAGAGAAAGTATAAAGGTGGTGGTTTTTTTTAGCAAATTTCATGAAATTTCTCATGTTCTCTTTTTTCATCATCTTCTTCTCTTGCTCAATTTCATCTTCTCTTGTATTTGGGTGTTCCAGGAGATATTCCTGCAGCCACCTCAGCAGATGTGGATATAGCTGTTGAAGCTGCCCGAAAAGCGTTTTTCCGAAATGGGGGCAAGGATTGGGCATCGGCTAGTGGGGCCCACCGAGCTAAATATTTACGAGCCATTGCTGCAAAGGTCTATTGAGTTGTATTTTATTTGGGACATTTCTTATATTCAGTGCTTCTAGTGTACTCTTCTCTTGTTCAGTTAACTAATGAGCAATGTAGTCTTGAATTACATTAATACTGTCTAGACAAAGTGAAAGAAACTAGACAAGTGAAAAAAGAGAAAAATAAAAATACAAATATTGAGTTAATCTTTTAGCAATATATTTAGGTTGTTCGCCAAATTTGCGTTGATGCTCCCATTTTCCCGATTAAATGTAGATCACTGAGAGGAAAACAGAACTATCGAAACTTGAAGCACTTGATTGTGGGAAGCCATTGGAAGAAGCAGCTTGGGATATAGTATGATTCTAACACCCAATCCTTTTTTTTTTTTTGGTTCTTATTTTTTATTCCCTCAATTACAAAATATGCTTAATTTGTTCTCAATCCAGGATGATGTTGCTGGATGTTTCGAATATTATGCCGACATTGCTGAAGGCTTGGATTCGAAGCAGAAGGCCCCAGTTTCTTTACCAATGGAAACATTCAAATGTCATGTTCTGAAAGAACCTCTAGGGGTGGTTGGTTTAATTACACCATGGTGTGTGTTATTCCACTAGTTGCTCGAATTTTGCACTGGATTTTTTTTTAAGTATTTTCTTACACAGGACTTTTGCAGCTAGTACAATTGGTTTTATTTGTTTGTTATCCTTATTGAACTTCTATATATTAACTTCTTTTCTCATTTTATAGGAATTATCCGCTGCTAATGGCAACATGGAAAGTTGCCCCAGCCCTTGCAGCTGGATGTTGCGCAATACTTAAACCCTCTGAATTAGCATCTGTGTAAGTCTTCCTACAGAAATTGTCATCATTTTTTTTTT